ACACACACACACACACACACACACACACACACACACACACACACACACACACACCCCTCCTCCTATGCCACTCTATCCTGTCTGATCGATCCCACGTCATCGCATCCCATCGCATCCCATCGCGTCCCCTACCATGCCGTCAATCTCGTCGCCATCGCGTGGTTTGGATGAACCTGACCCCAATTACCGCCCGATTCTGTGAGTACTTTCCACGCTGAGTACGACCTAATTAACTTTTATCATTACCAGCTATCATTAATCACATGGTGCATTGCCATCACTAGGTAGTTTCTTGAATCCACGTTGTTTTTTTTGCCCCTCGTTTTTTGAATCCATGATTTTCAGAGAGGGCATGCTTGTTGTACGGGGGTTGACAGGCTCAAGGATAACCCCTTTAGTATAACCCCACTTTCTCAATGGCTTTCTCGTCATCTTCATAGGTTAATATGACCCCTTTAGTATGTACCCCTTTAGTCTGTAATTGACAGACTCAAGTAGGGCATACCCGACTTGACTGTATGTAATTGACAGTGGTTTCTCTCAGATTCATCCAAAACTGCCTCTCTCTCTCTCTCTCTCTCTCTGAGCATACACTCACACCGACACTTGCTGAACTAAAACTGACATCACTGTAATTGCCCACGTGTGAGTATGAAGAGTTCAAGACTCGGTGAAACTAGCCAGCAGCATCTGCCATAGCCCTTGCTCGTTCGCCGATCATACTCGCACGTGGGCAATCTGGATGAAGATTCCGAGAGTTTTCTCACTACTATTGCATGATCTCTGAAGAGCACACGTAACATTTCCCCTCAACAGGACAACTCGAACATCAAGGGGGGGATGGAGGGCGGGCAAAGGGGGGAGGAGGACGGAGGGTGGGGGCAGGACAAGGAAGGAGAACGGCGACGATGGAGGAGGGAGGAAGAGGAGGAAGGAGTACGATGGATGGAGGAGGCCGGAGGATGCAGGGGGGAGGAGGTCGGTCGGAGGTTGGAGGGAGGACTTAGGACGAAGACGGAAAAAACGAGAAAAAAGAGGTAACAAGTCAGTTGAAATCAATCAATGATGAAAGAATCAATGAATAGATCAATTAATCAGGGAGCGATGATGGATAGAAAACGAGCAACAATGGAGGGAGGAGCAGGAGGGAGGACAGCGATGATTGCACATTGGGTGGAGCGTGGACGCCGACGGCGATAGAGGGAGGAGGATGGAGGGTGGAGGCGGAAGAGGGAGGAGGACGGAGGAGGACGACGGCTATCGATGGAGGAGGGTGAATGGACAGAGAGGAGGAGGGAGGGAGGAGGGAGGGAGGAGGAGGACGAGGGAGGAGGTCAAGGACGATGGAGGGAAGAGGAGAGGATGGAGGGAGTAGGTGGAGGGAGGATGGAGAAAGGAGGAGGAGGGGGGATGGAAGGCGGACGACAAAGGAGGAGGTAGGAGGACAATAACAATGGATGGAGGGGAGAGGATGGAGGGACTAGGTGGAGGGAGGATGGAAGAAGGACTATGGAGGAGGAAGGAGGATGGAGGAAGGAGGAGGGGGGGTGGAAGGTGGACGACGAAGGAAAGACAGTGGAGAAGCAAACAGGTAAAGAAAGTTAACTTGTAAAGAAGAGGGCATGACAAAGAGGTGGGGCGGAGGGGGGCGCAGGTGTGGTTGGGGAGGAGAAAAGCATAACAGTTCTCTGGGCATCATCATCAGGAAAGCAAAAAAAAAAGAACAGAACTTCATAATGTGAAAGGTTGAAGCTGCGGATTGAAGGTACATTTCTGTCTGTATTGTGTGGATGTTTCTGGCCAGGAACAGAGGCCATCCTAATGAGTGGGGAGGAGAAACGCATAACAGTTTTCTGGGCAGTTCTCTGTTCATCATCATCAGGAAAGCAAAAAAACAAACAAACAGAACTTCATAATGGGAAAGGTTGAAGCTGCGGATTGAAGGTACATTTCTGTCTGTATTGTGCGGTTGTTTCTGGCCAGGAACAGACGCCATCCTAATAATCTTTTGCAACAGTGGATGGTAACAGATTGAATCTGTCTGCCGATGTGTGTGCCTCTCCACTGTTGTTTGTGTCTCTCTCTTTTGCCAGATTGCCAGAGAGACAGAGTCCTTCTGCTTACCTCTTGCTGATTTACGCTATCGGGGGTAGTATCAGCGATTTATACGGTCGCTGATGTATGGGTGGTGTTGAGCTATATTGGCTGATGTGAGGTCTCACCTGYGCTGGTGGCACTCTGTGAAATCGACCTCACCCGCTGTACCGGCAGCTWCCTGTGACTGTGTCGGTGGGTTCCAGCCAACATATTGTGACGCGCAGCGTACCTGCAGGTGGCTGAACTGTGTGAAGCCCAATTATATGTGGCTGGAAGCMGTGCAGRAGAGAGCACAGACCATTGAGAGGTGTGCACACGTTTGTGCTTCAGATACCCTTTATGCTTGTCATCGTTTGTTTGCGTGTGTATTCTGTACTCGATTGCTTAAGCCTGCGAAAAGGAAAGTGAGTTGGCTACTGTCCTCGCCCGAACATAATGCATATGCATTGTATTCAAGTTTTTCAAATTTGAAAGAAAATCGAATAGAACTCATGTGCGTTGTATTSAAAATTCAGGGCTATTCGAATAGTATTTGAATAGAACGCAACACATATGCGTTATGYTCGGGGGAAGAAGGTAGTCTGAGCAAATGTYGTGACCACAGAGCCGGACAGGTTGTTTGTGTGTATTGGGGGTGTGTGGCGTGGAGGTGAGGAGGTGTGGTTGGGGTGTGTGAACGACATCCACTTTTGTCTAGGAGGGTGCAAGGGCTTGTCATCATTAGCCAGCATTTCGTAATAATGAATTGATAATAATAAGGGCTCTTGGAAGGCTACCATCTGCCCGTCCTTTAAAAGGGTGGGTGGGCTAGTCTGACCACATGTTGTGACCACACAGCTGGGTTGATTGTCTGTATTGTGGGGGCGCGAGGGGTGGATTTGTGGCGGTGTGGTTGGTGTTTGTGCGACATCCGCTTTTTTGTGGGCTTAAGGACGTGCCACCGTTTGTTGACATGGTGTAATTATTGGTAATATTTACTAGGGGGCTGCCACCTGATAAACCTGCAAATGGGTCCGGCTACCGTCTTCCCCTGAACGCAATGCGCTCAGATTATGGCTGTACCGGCCGGAAATATAGCTTGTACACATTCGTTTTCATGGTGGTGCGTTATGTTCGGGGGGAATACGGTAGTCCCATTAGATGTTGTGACCACACACCTGGGCTGGTTGTGTGTGTGTGTGTGTGTGTGTGTGTGTGTGTGTGTGTGTGTGTGTGTGTGTGTGTGTGTGTGTGCATGCGTGTGCACGTGGGTGGTTCTTTTTTTTTGCGTGTGTCGGGGGCGGTGGGTGGGTGAAGGTGTGGAGGTGCATTTGGGGTATTTTTTAAACAGGTACATGTGTGTACCATGCAGCCTCACAGGCTGTGATTGTTCTCCATATCTTTAATTCTCTGCCCGTGCTCGGTTGTGTATTAGTGCTGCAATCATTGAACAGCTAAGTTCTCTTTCCTCTAGCTGGACTGTTTCCATTTGATACTCTTGTCTCAATTGTCCTGTTTTTTTCTCCTATCTTTGCTGTTCTTTCCTTGTTTTGTCATTTACCCGATGTTGTAACTGCTGAAAGGATTTGAAATCAAGTGACGATTGAAGTCTTTATAATAGTTTATATACTATTTGGTAGCTGTTTTCATCTGGGAGCATGAAGGTGGTCGGCGCTACCTGACCAGGTCCATGCTCCCTGAGAGCCTCCTGTTCTCCTTCTCCTTCTCCTTTGCCTCTCTGTCCGAGCTCGTCTTGGCTATAGCTGATGCCCAAACCTGCTGCAAATGTCAGCCTGAGAGGAGGGGGGGGGAAAGGGGGCGGGATGGGCCGGGCCTGGTTCGTTCTGCAGATAAGTTGCACTCTTCTCCACCAGACTGCCACGTCAACCCCCCCCTGAGTAATTAATCAATCTATTAACCCATTGCAGGCACGTGGGGGCGCTTAGGCCTTCCCTCTTTTGTCTATCGATGGTGCGGTATGTGCTCTGCAGCTTTTTGAGTGTAAGCCTCCTATGTCTGCTCCCACCCAGCATGACTCTGCAGTGATGTAGAGTTAGGTGAACTCTTTCCTCTTCCTCTGGTGGTAGTAGAGGTTCATGTGCTAGGGGTGAGAACCAACTTGATGGGTCTGATTTGTTTTTTGATGTCCATTATACTCTCCTTCATTCTCAGGTTACCCTTGTCATCCTTGTTTTGCTGCATCCTGTAATTCATGTTGTTACCCTTCTCATCAAGTTGTTGATGTGTGTGCCATGAAATCATTGCTTCATTGGGCCTTTGTCAGATTTGATAGGTGTGATGAATGCTGAGGAGAACTGTGTTGATGTGTGTCATGAAGTTGTTGCAACCTTGGATTTGATGGCAGTGATGAATGCGGAGGAAGACATCAGTGTCAAAGACGTGTTTTAACGGTGTGTAACTAATTCAATGTCTTCTTGATTTCTCGCAGCGTTTCCTTCCTCCTTGCTTCTGGTTGAATCTTTCATTCTCCGTCGCCGATGAATGTGTAACTAATTCAGTATGTCTTGTCGATTTCTCGCAGTGATCAACCTAGCACGAGCTCTTCTTCCGCTCCGTCTCTGATGAATCTCTTTTTTTTTTTTTCCTTTTTTTTTTTTTTCCTGTCCAAGTTCGAGCTAGAGTTGACCCCAACAGCGTCTGCTTTCGCTCCGGATTGTCCCAGGAGACCGTTCCCTCCAAGTTCGAGCTAGAGTGAAGCTCAACAGCGTCTGCTTTGCCTCCGGTCTTGCAGGATCGTAGATAGTGAGACAGTGCGAGCATTTTAAATCCATTCATCAGGGCACTTTCATTTCACACCTGTCCGGCTGTGCCAGCATATTGATGATTTCTCTGCATCAAATGTGTGAAACTTCGCTTGCTATCGGCTTTTGCTTCAGATTGCGGTTTTTGATTTGAGCGAACTCAGTTGAGTCCTCAATGTTACAGTCACTTGTAATGACCTGCCAAAACACAGACTGAGAACACTGCTGATTTCTGGGATTTGCCGCTGGAATGATGCCTTGCTGAGATTCCCGCATTCTGCTGTGGTTTCCAAGTCTGTGTGTGTGTGCGTGCCTGCTGGTTTGCGTGCCTGTCTGAGTGCTTGTCGGCTGAGTGTGTGTGTGTGACCTGCAAGGGTACTTGTTGGTTGAAAGGCCCCGCAGGGCAGGTACTTACCTGTGGCCGTGACTTTGAGGGTTGCAGCGGGGAAAACACTCAAGTAGCGGGGGTAGGCCCGCGACACTTAGAGCAGCAGGAAAAACACTCGAGTAGCAGGTAGGCTGGTACCACTCAAGTAGTGGTAGAAGTGTCGGATACTGGAGGCCGAGCAGAAGAAGACAAAAAGTTGGCATTTTTATAGGCCCAGTAGCGGTAGGTTAGAGGTAGGCCGGTACCAGTCCAAGTAACCTGAGTCTAGGGCCTGTCCGGATGATAGCAGAGCCTGCAATGATGTTTCCCTCCGAAAGGGAGGAGGTACCGGTTGCTGGGAGGCCACTCGGCCTGGGAAGTCACCACCCAAGAGGCCAGTAGGCCGCTACATCTTCTGGAGGAGCAAGCAGCTCCTCCTCATTTGCGGTATGCAAGGATTGGTGACATGCTTCTGGAGCCAAGCACTGGACTTGTGCAGTGCTGCCTGGAGGAGAAGAGCAGCTGGGCGCTCAGCCTGGCTATGGCGAGCAGCCCAGCTTGAGGAGGAGGAAGAAGGGGGCGAAGGAGGAGAGTGGCGAGGTACCTACCTGGCTACGGTGGACACCATCTTCATCACCTTGTTGGGCGCGGCATCTGGAAGGCCCCAGTTGGGGTAGTGCCGCACCAAGGAAGCTCGAGGCAGAGTCAGGCATGGCGGCTTAGTCAGCAGCGACATAGCTGGTTTGCGTTGTCCTTTGCACAGGAGGGCAGGGCCCTCAGTAGTCCCCCATAGCCTAGGCATGTGAGAGGTGGAAGAAGGGGGGGAAGCCATAGCTATGGTGGACCTATTGTGATGTCAGCAGTAAGAGGGAACTTCGGATATTGATTCTGGTTCATCCACTCATTGTTATTATTATTATTGGAAGAAGAATAAGATTGGCGAAGTGAAGGAGGAGGAGGAAGGTGGAGAGAGAAGGGGGATTTGTCATTGGTCTTGCTGGTGTACATCTTCTTCTTCTTCTTCTTCTTCTTCTTCTTCTTCTTTTTCTTCTTCTTTCTCTCTTCTTTGGTCTCTATCTCTTTGCAAGTGCTTTCATTTCTTTTGCAATTGGGTGACATTGTCTTTCATTGTGAGTTTGCACTTTGGGAATGACCAGGATCGTAACACGCTGGACTCTTACTCAGGGTTGCATTGTGGCATTTCAATGGATTCTCCTTGTGGCAGGTTATCGTTTCATTTGGTGTTGTAATGTACAAACATGAAAGTAAAATTGCGGAAAGCAGTGGTTGTAAGGGGCTGTAGCTGGCAGCTTCGTTACAGGAAGGACTGGGGTCAGGGCTACGATCGAAGGTAGCGATAAACTGGGTTGGCGGAAACATTGTGCAGCTGGAGGAGGGACGAGGACCACAGTCCCAAGCTCTGATTGTCTCGCAGAGCGTGGAGGATGGATAGAAAGAAATCCAAAGAGCAAGACAGCGAGCAGAATGGACGGATCGTAGGAGTTGCGGCGGCAAATGGTGTTGGTGGAGAGGGTCCTGCGAGACCAAAGCGCAAAGGACAGCTAAAGCCATCCCAATCGTATTCGAATCAGCATCAGCATCAGCATCAGCATCATCAGCAGCAGCAACAACAACAACAGCAACAACAACAGCAACAACAGCAGAACCCGAACCCGAACCAGAACCAGAACCAGAACCAAAACCAAAACCACAACTCAAAGCCAGGTCTTTCTCAGCAGCAGGCCTCCCAGCAGCAGCAGCAGCAGCAACAACAACAACAACAACAACAGTCTCACTCACAATTAATTTCGCCGTTCCTTCATCCCCGCCGGCAACTTCAACAAGATATTCCAAGGAAATCGCTTTCTCGAGGGCCCTTCCCTCCTCTTCCTCCTCAGCAACAGCAGCAACAGCTACCTCGGAGACAACGGAGGATTCCCCGCTCATTCACTCCTCCTAAAGTTGAACCAAGAGACGACATGAAAAGGTATTGCTGATCTTGAGCTTTGGACTTTGAAGCCTGTTGAAAAACGGAAGTGTTAAGTGCTGCCTGCTTTTTGGCACACGTGAGAGATGGGTGGGATGTCTTTAGGTCTGATGCTCTGAGCGAAAGAGTGTTATGAGAAAGCAATTGAAAGCAAAATGAGAAGACAACCGTCCTTTCTGTCAACGTCAAGTCAACCATCCTCTCTATCAACCTCAAGAAACCATCCTTTCCGTCAACCTCCTGATGCAAGATTGAAATCATTGAATATATTCTGATGATGTAGGCGAGTGCAATCAAGAGAAAGTGAACAGAGAAGACAAGTTTTCCTCTTCCATCAACTTCCCTGGTGATGCCTTTTTTTTTTTTTTTTTTTTTTTTTTAAGACACATCCCCCTGTAAATTCTGGGAGGGCACCAGTCCGGTTACTAATCACCGGCAAGCATAAAAGCAAAACAAGAGACGTTATAGTCCCAGTGACCCCAGGCTGCGTCAGAGCAGTGGGAGACTAATAAAGTACCCAATCCTATACCCATGAGAACACCCTAGGACCCATCCTTCGGTTGCCTCATAAGCGTCATAACACACCCTAATTGTCCTAAGAAAAAGGATAACGTATAAACAGAATACTAAAAAAGGAAAAAAAGGAAACTAAACTTACTAAAGCTTAATAATTCAAAAAAGGAAAAAAAGGAAACTAAACTTACTAAAGCTTAATAATTTAAAAAAGGGCAATCTTATAAATAAAAAAACGACTAGGAGAGACACGACTAGGAGGTTCCCAGGGGGGGGAGGGGCCTTACAGAACAGATTAGGGCAGAAGCTAACAGAAAAAACTAGGAGAATATCTATACACAACTACTGAAGCACAGTTACCTCAGAGTATAAACCACCTCAGAGTTTAAACCCCCAGTCCTGCTGTGCGACCAAGAAAACTCCCAGTTGTTAGCCGGTAGACCCCAACCAGCCAAGGAGAACAGGCGTGGCACAGGTTCGGCCGGTGTGCAAATTGAAAGCAGTCGCCCAACCAGGTTTGTTTGGGATACCCGCCCAGCCTCAGTGTGGCATACTGCACAGCCACACAGGCCTGCAAGGCCCAACCAGACGGAAATTCAGGGCCCTACAGGCCCTGTGTCGTTTCAGCCTAAAAGCCTGAAAACAAGGACCTACAGGCCCTGTGTCGTTTCAGCCTAAAAGCCTGAAAACGAAGGTCTACAGGCCCGGTGTTGTTTCAGCCTAAAAGCCTGAAAACGAGGGCCATTTTCAGGCCCTCATAAAGTCGACCTGCCCTGAAACTTAGGCGCCAGACCAGGGTTTTAGCACAGGCCATTTTTGGCCTATTTTCAAGACAATCTTTGTTTGAACTTCAACGCCAGGGTCTGGCACGTTTTGGCATTGGCAAGAGTAGCCTCCTGGACGGGCCAGGACTATCTAAGACTGGCCCGCCCTACAGGCTGCAGGCAGTGGACGAGGTAGTTCATAGGGACTTCCCAGGCACTTCACGTGCAGGAGGCAGGAGGCAGTCTTCAGTATTCGGCAGCAGCACTCTGGAGGAGCGCTGAAAGGAGTAGTAGCGTTAGCAGTAGTCTTCAGGGCTGGGCGCTATTAGGGGCTAGAGTAGCGTTGGAGAGAGAGAGAGATGGTTGGCGGAGGCCAGGGAGACTTACCTGTGGCGCCATAGCTCCAGCTTCGTCTTCGATGTACCTGCAACAAGGCCCCACCTTCACAGGTTAGTACTGGACTGTGAGAGAGAGAGAGAGAGAGAGTTCTTCTTCTTCCTCTTCTAAGTCCACTATCTCTCCCTCACCCTCTCGCTACCGAACTTCTCAGTATCTGCTGACTACGAGAGAGAGAGGGATTGGTGACTTTGGGACTTGACGGCATTTGGATCCCGACTCGACATTGGGATTGAGACATTGGACGAGGGATTATTTGGGACCTGTGCCGAAGACTTGGTGTTGACGACATTCCCATCTTCCCGTCGTCTAACCCCCCTCTTCTTCGTCTGTGTATGGCTGGGGACTGGCGCACTCTTCCTGTGTGAAAGCCAGCCCCTTTCACACCATGGAATGATGATGATGTATGTTTGGTCTGCATTACGACATTGATTGGTCTGGTCATTGGTATATTAGCTTTCTGCTGCGCTATCTTGTACTATGTGAGCGAGGTCGGTTCTTGTTCTGGTCTGCACCTTTACGGTATGCGACACTCAGGGTCCGGCAACAACAAAGGACTGCTAGTTTAAGCTGCGCACTGTGAATTCTGTGGGCCCTAACTCCCGCCCTTTGCGTGGAAGACAAGTATAACCAACGCGGCACCATGCTGCCTTCCAAAACACTGAGGAAACACAGCCGTGCTGCTTTGCTCATATAGGGGACGGAAGAGGAAAAAAAGGGGAGAAACAATGGCTTCATAGTCCCATAGCTTTATGTCCCTTTCCCGCTCTTTGGCCCCCCATTAACCATCTCTCAAATTGCCAGCGAAACCGGCGAATATTTGGCCCCCCGTTAACCATCTCTCCCGTAGCCATATCGGAAAGGTCCACAACAGGCTTGAAGTCCCTTTCTGACTGCCTTCCTTACCCCAGGTATGGAACGACGTACTTCATGCAAATGTCACTTCAGATCTTGTGATTTTCATCCTCTTTCTCATCTGCCATGAAAATGCAGCTTGATGCTTTTCTGTCCAGGTTTCATATGGGCAAGTGCAGAAATCTTTCCCTCCAGATAGGACCTACCCTCCATTTTCGAATTTTACTACGGTCTTCACAGGAATAGAACGCCATGTCATTATAGCCGTATTCCACTGAACTTTCACTCTAGATACAGGGCTAATGACCAGGTGTTCTGTTCGGCTGAAGACGGTAGGGTTCCATAGAGATCTGAGTAGTTTCCAGGAGTTTCCCGCGGGAACGTCAGTGGGCCCAGTTTCTGCCCGAAAGAGTCCTGCAGTTTACATGGGTTGTCGGCTGAGGCAATTAGGACGTGAAGTTGTGCTCAAGCGTTCCAGCAGGGGCGTCTGAACCTTTGGCCTGATAACACTCGCCGAAAGAATTAAGGTCAACGGTGACTCTTTTCCTTTCAGCAGAGTGTGGAATGTGGGCAGGATGCCCTGCAGAAGAAAGGCCGCGATAGACCTAGGGCATGACAGGTGCGGCCAAAGGTTAGGGCCTAGCGCATCCTGGAGAGGCAGCGAGGGAATGCCCCGGACCAGCCTGAGGTTCCTCCTCTCGCACCAGTTTAGAGGTGGGACCACAAGTTGGTGCTGTCTTTGCTCTATCCTGTTTTCTGAGGACAGGCATGTTTTCACTTTCTTTTTGTCCCATCGTCCGCCATTGGGTGCCTTTCGAGTTTCCCCCGTTGGTCTCCACTACCTGACAGACAGCTAGGCATATGTCTAAAACCTGAGCTAGGCATGTTTGGACCACCAGTATGCCTGAGTCCTCTTTTTCCCAATGCTTGACTTTGCCCTCTGCTAGAGTACTGAGCTCTCGTCAGTTGGGTTCTGCCGAGGGACGCCAGCTTTTTTTGATCAGGCAGGTTGGACGTCATTGTGTCCCTATGATAACCGGCGCAGAAGCAGGGACAAAGGGCCAGTATCTACTGATTCAATAACAGTAGCTGCTGTAGGAGAGGACTGGACTGGGTAAGGAGCCCCTTTCCTGGATGGGGAGGGCCCGTTGGCACAGGACGCAGTCATTTCCAGTGTTCTTTGTGCCAGTCATTTCCAGTGTTCTTTGTGCCAGTCATTTCCCTGTAGCAGAACACTGGATCAGAGGAACGAGGGGGGAGAGAGTAGTAGAGGTGTCGTAGCTCTAGGCTACCCGTCCATAGGCGTATGATGAGCAGAAGCCATAGCCAAGGAGCCAAGGAGCTATGAAGTAGTGGCTGTTGTAATTGTGAGGAGAGGTGGGAGTAGTGGATGAGGAAGTAGGCTGTACAGAGGGCCATGCTGGCACGATGGCATCTGCAATAGCTTGCCTTTTTTGTTTTTTGATTGCCTTATATTCATTTCCAGAGTGAGTTGGCTTTGCCCCGCTTCTCCCCCAGTTTATATTCTAGGTTCCATTGTTACAGCCTGCCGCTAGGCTAGGGAATTCTGGAGCTTACCCCCCCCTCCCCCCCACTCCCCGTTTCCTGAAATGTCCCAGGGCTTCCTTCGGTCCCAGGGTGGTGAGAGCACCACCGGGACCGAGACGCTCTAGCAGCTTCCATCTATTGGTGGGGAGCAGCACCTGCTGGAAACCGGGTCCAGCGCCCCATGTGGATACATCCGTCAAAAATACTGGGGGTGGCATTACCCAGCTTCGCTTACAATTCTGTTAGAGCCTAGAGGCCAGCCTGTCTATTGTCTGAACCAGTCTGATTGCAGATTTTGTGGCAGCTTGCCATACAAAAACTACTTGGGTTGCAAATGAAGTGCTGCGATGACCAGCTTGGCATCCTATTGATGTCTCAGAGCCCCCTACCACCATCCAACCTCCCCCCTTGGTCTGTTGATTTTGTTCTTTCTGAAACCTGTTGATTCTTCCCGACGTCTGAGTTGATACTTGGGGTGTTTCTATTTTCTCTGAGATACTTATTCAATGCCATTGGGCCCAAGGTATCTCAGAGAAACGGAACAGCCCAATGGCAGTGATCAAGCTGACTTGTAATTGCGGGTTAGCATTCATCTGGAAAGTGATGATTGCACAATGCACAGTCATCGCCACCTGTTAGGTGATCCCGTTCCAAGTTCAACTCGCCTCCAGCAGCCTCCTTGCCAAAAAGTCCCACCCAAATTCCGAATTCCAAGTAACAATTACCACACGCGTTTGTCCATCTCTTATAACACCATCGTTCAGTCGGTTTGTCGTTTTGTGTTTTCCAATTTCTCTATTCTGTACGAAGACTTGGAAGCTTGACACTGGGAGCTGCACAGACATTTCCACGTGGTCAGATGGTTTTTTGAACTTTTTTTTTTAAATTTAATTTTAAGCAGAACCAAATGGTTCCGGCTCCATA